TCAGTCCTGAAGATGTGCCGGCAAGAAAAGCCAAGGCTATCGCGACAACTAGCTAAGATTTTGATATTTTTACACGATACTCTAGATTAACTAAGCTCATCCGAGTTATACCACCAGATTCTCAAAAAATGCGAGAAAGGCAAGAATCGCGATTAAAGATCCGCAAGCACCTTTTAAAAATGTCATTGAATGTGATTGAGCCCATTACGCCTGAAGAGTAAGCTTAGGTAATTTTCTTGGTGAAACTCATACAGAGTACATACTTTGCTAAAGAGCTGAAATCGCTAGCCAAATAGGACTTTGTAAACAAAAAGAGTCGCATTAAAACTAAATTCTTTCATAGATGAAGCGGGAATTTTAAGGATAGGAAGACGTCTTAAGGCATAAAGTCAATTCTTCGCTGCAAAATCCTATATTGTTTCCAGGTCATCATCCATTTTTCCAATTAATTGTAAGGTGAACATGAAAGGCATCTCCATGCCGGTGCACAGGCCATTCTTGCTACGTCAAGTATTGACTTATCTCGGCGCGAGATGTAGTTCGACAAATAGTCCGGAAATGCGTGGTCTGTTTTCAAAGTGTTCCAAGCCCTACTTCCATCATGGCAATCTACCATCGTCGGAAGTAAAGGTACTGGCCAGAGCATTTGACGAGTGCGGTATTGATTATGCAGGTCCATTCTATCATAAAAAAGGAGCCCGAAGAAATATCAAGTTAATAAAATGTTACATAGTAATCTTTGTGTGTATAGTCACTAAAGCCATATGAAGTTGGCCGTTGACTTATCCTCGGAGACATTCTTAAACACGTTCAAATATTTTATAATCAGAAGGAGCTGTCCATCGTATTTTCGGACAATAGTCTCAACTTCGTGGGAATCGAATGTGAGTTAAAAAAATTGACTCCTCCAAAATCAAGAAATACAAAAGAAGTTCATTGAGCTCGTTGCCAGTAAGGGAATCAGGTGACACTTCAGAGCTCCATATCATGAGAGGTTGTGGGAAATAGCGGTAAAGATGGCTTCTCCTATAACAACCAATTTTATGAACAACTTTAGGAGTGGCAAAGGGCTTTCTTATTTCTCTTGTAATTGTCAATATCTTCATGGAGCATTTTGAGAAAGAAGTCCTCAGAAAAATCAGAAGTTTGATTCCGTTATGTAGATGACACATTCGTGATATGGAGACACGGCAAAGTCAAACTTCTTAAATTCCTCCTTAAATTCCTTATTTTCCTAAACAATCAACATCCAAAAATCCACTTCACTATAGACATAGAGGAAAGTGGAAAACTCCCTTTCCTAGATGTTTTTGTCTCTAAGAAAGCTAACGGTACTTTAGGCCATCAAGTGTACAAAAAACCAATATAGATAGATATCTATATGCCGAGTCGCATCACTACCCAGCACAAAAACAATCTGTAATCAACTCACTTGTACATAAAGCTTTCACCATCGCTGACAAAGAATGTCTATAGATAGAACCATCTAAAACTAGCTTTACAGAAAAACGGACACGAAAGATATTAAAGATAATCAAAATAATCAATAAACATGCAAACAAAACAACGGTCTCTGACAAACAACCAAACAAAAAGATCCTATCCATTCTCTATATCAAAGGAACAATAGATTGGATTGTAGATAGGATATTAAACAAATGCAATATCTTCTATCCAAACTATCTTCAAACTACTCAAAAAGATAAGACAAATTTTAAGAAATTCTAAAGATCTCCACTCAGCTCCGCAGAAGTATACAAAATATCTTGTTTCTGCGGGCAAGTATACATTGGAGAAACCGAAAGAATGGTCTTATGGATAAAAGAACATTAACGTGATGTTAGGTTAAAACATGCCACGCAGTCAGCATTATCAGAACACATCGAAACAGGACATCAAATACTGTTTAATAAAACGACCACAATAGTCAACATTACATCATACCTTCCAAGAAAGTATAGAGAAAGTATAGAGAAGCCATAGAGATACAAAAACCCTAACAATATAAATAGAGATAATGGCTACAACATAAATAAAATATGGAAAACCATTCTCCCGGTTATTGAAGACAAATTTCCCCTATCTCTCTCTCTTCCCCACAATTCTCTTCTTTCCCCTTACTACTCCAACAAGTGTAATATAAAAGGAATTACCTGGAGGAATAGCTCAGTATCGGGCTGCTTCTCGTTCTGATGAAGGATTGCAAGATTCACGAAAATGTTGGCATTCCAAGAATGGATTTGAACACGGAGAAAAACCCATAAAGCATAATTTTTATATAGGAAGCACTCGTAGAAACCTCAAGAATATTTATTATAGTGTTTCGAAAAATTCTTGACACCAGATATTAGATTTTGTCAAATATGGTAAAATATGGTATTCTATTAAAAAAAATCAATTTGACATTGACCTGACCTTGGCGACGTCACCTAGGTTAAGCAGATCAGTAAATAAGTCTTTTTTAATCCTACTTTTGTTTGAAACATTTTCCTCTGCTTTCAAGATATTCCCATTTCTAGACTTTTAACACACTCTGTATATATAATACAATGTGTGTTCGCGCATGCGTACATGCGTGTGTGTGTGTATACGGATGTCTCAGAACTCGTGTACCGCCGATTATCATCGTATATTCTCCGTGAAATTCTAAGATGAAAAGTTCTGTATCAAAGAGTAATTCGAAAAGTAAAATTTAAATGGAGAGATATTTAAGTTGACAAATGGGTGCGCGTGGAATTCGCGTAATCAGGATTTTACATAATCGAACTGGCGTGAGATATTTCAGACTTGCATTGTCCCAAAGCATGTTTCTCATTACCTCTTTTAATTTAACTAATTAAGAATTGTTTGAAATAAATACATCAATTCGTTTTAACTGAAAATTTTAAACAAATTATTTAAAACAAATTATTTAAAAACAATAAATCGTTATAAACGTTATAAAATTTATAAAACATTAATATTAAATATTAAAAAGATTCAACAAATATCAAAATTATATAAGCAACGCTACAATTATTAAAAAAATTTATTATTGCTTTATTATAACAAAACGATTTTAATATTTAATAAAATTTTTAGTATTTTTAATATTTTAGTTAGATTTTTAGTATTTTTTAATAATGAATTGCAGATTTTAATAATAATTTAAAACTTTTAAAGCAATTTTAAGGTATTTTATGTAATTTTTCGATTTTTGAAGCAATAGAAGAATTTACAGAATTTTATAACAATTTTTGACTTTTGTAAACTATTTTAATGTATTTTAAACAATTTTGAGTTTCTAGAATTCTAGAATCTATTTATATGTTATATTTTAATTAATTTTTAAGTTTTTGTAGCAATGATAAGTTTTTTTAAACAATCTTAAAATTATATTGATTATTTTTGGGATTTTAAAATCAAATTGCAGAATTTTGAAACCCTTTTTACATTTTTATGAGTTATTTAAAGATTTACGAATTATTTAAATTTTTTTATTTTTAAACCAATAATAAACCAATAATAAACTTTTTTAAATAATTGTAACATTGCTTATATAATTTTGATATTTACACGTACTTAAACCTTTTTAATATTCGTTAAACAATATTAACGTTTTACAAACAATTTTTAATGTTTTTAAACAATTTACGGATGTTTTAAACAATTTTGATACTTTCAAAACAAAAATACAATTGTATTTTAAATACAATAATTTTTAACTTTAATCAGTTAAATTAAATGCAAAAAGGAAAACATGCTATCACAAGTGTCTGAAATACTTCGCGCCAGTTTCAGTTGTGTCGATCCTGACCACGAAAATTTCATGCGCACTCATTCGTCAACTTTAATATCTCACCATTCAAATTCTATTTAACAGATCGTTTTTTGGTACAGAACTTTTCGTCTTAAAATTTCACGGAAAATACATTGGTTATTGGCGGTACGCGAATTCTGAGACATCTTTATATATAGACATTATTAAAAAATTACTAACACTTGCAGTTTTCACACAACATCATTATTCAAATACACAAAGTTTTTTGTAATTAAGATAGAACATAAGTCACGATAACAAATCATCAAAATGACATTAAACTGAATCATGATTGATTAAAAACTTTAGTAAGCATTTTGGAGTCGTTTTAGCATCACTTTTATATCATGATGTTTTTTTATTCTATTTAGGATGATTTTTTAAATTTATTGCATACAGTAGATTTTAGAAATATTTCTGTTGTAATATTTCATGTGACATATTGAAGAATTATTTCCGAATTGTTGCACATGAAATGTGTAGGATTAAAATTTTTCTGAAAACTTATCGCAACAATCAATGTTATATGGGAATAAAATTTTATTAGAACATTTAATTTGAAATCATATTTATTAGTCTATTTCTGTTTATTATTACGAGATGAAAAGGAATGGTAACTTATACAATAACACTCTATACATTATTGAATGATATCTAGTATAGATTTCTAAGTATATATAAATATACTTATCGGATTTTAAACAATTTTAGTTTAAAATACATAAATGGTAGCAGTAAGATCATATTTTTATATTTATTGAAATAGTTATCTATAGATACTTTAATTCATCTATCAAAAAAATGAATTATAAACAAGTTGTATTTTCTGACTAAAGTTATCTGCATTTCCTGTAAATCTGTGAGAGTTTGTTGTCTGTTGAGCATTATTATAAGCAGTAAACATTCTTAGAATTTAGGTCAACTTTAATCCATTTTATAACATATAATGATAACGAATTATTTAAAAAAAAAATGGTAACTATAATGGATTATTTTTCTAAAATAACTTTACTAACTTTGTATTACTCCATACCTTAATACTTTTTAATAAATTTTACTGCTTATTTAAAATTCATTTTTTGTTTATTAAAATGTTTACTTATGTGAAGTATAAAAATTATCAGTTTGTCATATAACTTATAAATTTGATACTTTCTGTCTTATACAGCTACTTAAACTTTTTTTTAAAAAGTAAACTTACTTCGAGTTTTCGCCATCTGTGTATATTTAATGGAGTTTGAATTTCCTCTTCAAGTGCAGTGACTTTAAGCATTTCTTTTGTTAGGTTACGATTTAGATGAAAAACTTCTTGGCGCAAATCGCTAACGTTAAAGATATTTTTTGCTAGTAACATTTTCTCAGTTCTAAGTCTATTCACTTCGAACTTGAGTAACCGAATATCTTCTAATCTTTGATTGTATTGCTTCTCGCCACATTGTAATGTTCTATTCAAGACCTATGGCATATAAACATTCATATATACATATACATTTCAGACAAAAATGCTATCTACTTCAGATGTGGTAAATAATATTGCAGTTATATGTTTCAAGTTTGGCAAATCAAACCGGCACATATTTTATAAAAACTAAAAATTGTATTAGTACATATTTACATTTGAATATTATTAACAATAAGCATTTCGTATTAAAACGGCATTTTCTCCTCAAGATATGTAATATTTTATTCAAGATCTATGACATAAGTATATATGTAGGCATATGTGTTTCAGAAAAAAATCATATCTAATTTGTATATAGAAAATTCAAAGAAATGTCACTAGATAAAAATTTTTTTAAGAAACATTTGAAATTACCTATCTTCATACTATTATGCCTATTGAACATAGAGCTTAAAATTATTTCAATTACAGGGAATTGTAAGAACACAATTTTTTTTTGCATAGAAACCCCGTTTTGTAGCAAACATTTTATAATGAATAAATGGTGACTGTGAAAAAAAGAAGTTTTGATAATTATTTACTATAGAGGACTTAGCCCCAATGTCCTTGACATTGACATATTTCGTCAAATCTTGAATAACTTTGCCTTAACAACTAAATAGCAGTGTCTTGTAGTTTTTTTTGAGATACTTAGGATTAAAATATAACTTTAATACTAAAGTATAACTTTAGTATTATATGGCGGACGTCCCTAGACAGGCAGGGGAGATGGTGTGAATCTCGCTTCGCGGAAAGACCTACATTCCGTGGCAGGGAAGAAAATGGGATGGATTTTGCTTCGCATAGAAAGTCGTAGGCGCTGATACTAAAATTGCACTCTAAATATCTCAAAAACTATAAGAGACCGCCATGTAGTTGTTAAGGCAAAGTTACAACATGTAAAGGTCAAGTTACATATGTAAAGATCATTAAAACATGTACATAATTACCAAAGTTTTTATTAATAAAAGAAGTTTTCTTTTTTGTAAAAAAGGGAAAGAGAGAGAAAGTGATAAAAAGAGATATTGCTTGGCAAGTACTTACCATACGTGCCACGCAGCGCCACGAAACAAACCCTTGCTTGCTAGACTATTTCCTCCAATCCCCATGCTTTGAATATGTGATAGGAATTTGGAGGAAATAGTTATTCTAGTAATTCGGTGAATTGAGCAAAATTTTAGCGAGTGTTCCTTTTGTTCGTTCTCTGTCTTGCTCAACGAAACTTTCAAATGAAGAAACAATTCGCAAGAACAGTTCAATTCGCAAGAAACGTGTAGGAGAAGCCTGCTCTATGTTTTGCAGACTGCAAATACTGGCATTTCCTGTTACTCTTAAACTAAGATCTGATCAATAAATTCCGTCATTATGATTAATAAATTTATCAATTGTAAGATTGTTTTTTTATTTAAAAAATTATGTTTATTCTACATTCTAGTGTCACAGGATATGTTTCTTCTTGCAAATGTTGCTATGCAATAAACATTATTATTTAAAAAATGAGCATACAATAGCTCCTACCAGCTTTTACTAGCGGCATAAACTTACAATTATTAACAGTTACTATAGTTCTCCTACTTCAAATATCCAATCTTCATTACAAGTTTAAATTGGCTCTTGAAATATTAACAACAAATAACATAAAATAAAAAACGGACAATTAAAAGCCTTAAAAAGCCTTAGTAATTGGTGCACACATACAAATATATTTTGATAATATCTACTGATCTATTACATAAAATAAAATAAATAACTGAACGTTTCGGCTGTATTCAAGCCATCTTCAGCAATATCCAATAAAAAAATTGTTCACATTCGCATGTTCAACAATATAGTAGCAATACGTGTGCAATAAATAAGTCTATACAGATTCCCATGTCCGGGATGTAAGTAATTAAGTGTAAAAATTGCAATGCTTCTTATATTGGACAGACAGACCGAAAATTAAAGAATAAATGAACGTAAAAATGACATCAATAAAAAGAATGATAATTTGTCTGTCATTTCTGAACATAGATTGCAATCTGAATATAAAATTTTGGATAATGAGAGATATATTGGGAAAAAATTAGTATCTGAAATGCTTCATATTAAAATTCAGAAAAATGGCCTAAAATTTGAAATCAGACACTGAGTTCTTACACCATGCTTACACGAACATAATCAATAAATTTTAATTGGAATACTTAAACGACTATCTAGATTATTTTTCAATCCGATGATTTTTGACAACTTTATTTGTTTCCCTCCTTCCCAATGTTCTCTTACCTCAGTCGACTTTTCTTTGATTCTACGAACGCTATGTCGCTTTTAAGAGATTATTTTATTTTATCTTTTTGATTTCAAATTATGTTTTATTATAATATTGTGCAATTATGGGTTGCAGTAGGTCTCTTTATAGTTTTTATTCCTTTTTTCCAATAATATTCTTGTTAATGATTATGTTTGATTTAGCTCACACTTAGCTTATCAACTAATTGATGATTACTTACAGACATGGGAATCTGTATAGACTTACTTATTGCACACGTATTGTTACTACATTGTTGAACATGCGAATATGAACAATTTTTCTATGAAGATTGCTGAAGATCGCTTGAATATAGTCGAAACGTTCAGTTATTTATTTTATTTTATATAATAGGTTAGTAGATACTGTCAAAATATACTTGTATATGCGCACCAATTACCGCGTTTTAAGGCTCTTAATTGCCCGTTTTTATTTTATTATGTTATTTGATCCAATCTTTAATTTCAATTACTAGTCGGAGTCATCTAGATATCACTATGTATTTTCAAATGTAAAAAGTTCAAATTACATACATTTGCATTCGTAGATCGGCCTATGATAATTTTTCATTTTAGATGTTTAAATTAAAGTTTGAATTAATTGAATTTATTTAATTGCGGTTTGAGAAGCATTTCTATAAATAAACTCTTTAAATCTGAATCAATGGATAATCATTGATATCAGTGCCAAGTATGTTACTAGTAATCAGTGGATTAAATGTGAAATTCCTAACTTAGCTAATTTTTATTATGTGATCTAACTAACCTTGTTTTAGCGCTTAAATTAAATGAATGGTATTGAAAAATTGAAATTAAAGTATCAGTGCAAATATCAGTATTTTAATTATATAATAATGCTTAAAGATTCTTCCTTTTTTTAGTTGAACTTTACTAATTATTAGTGTCAAGTATGTCACTGGGTAATTAGTGACTATTCACTGATTCAAATTTAGAGAAAAGTTTGATTTGAAATTAGCTCCAATTGCATTATCTGGTTAAATCGCGATTAATATAAATGCTGTCTTTAAATTATTAAATAAAGAAATGTTCGAATATGACTTATATTAAAACTGATATTTTTATTAGATATGGTGCTCGCTTGTTGCGTCGAGTGATTGCTTAATGCTCTAAATACGGGTTCAATTCCATCTGCGTTCACATATTTTGATTTTATGCACTTAAATAGCCAAAAAGGCTCTACTTGATGATTAAGGCATCTTTGATTATCAATGTCGTTAAAGATTATAGATCCCATATATCTGTTAAGCACTCTCCAAAAAATTAAAATGGCACGTATGCCAGAATTAAGAACTTTTTATATTATTATATGTTCTATTGCTAATTTTTGTGTTTGAATGGTTTAGTAGAAAATAACAATTGAAGATGGAGATGTTGACTTAACATTAAGCAACTTCTTCTTTAAATTATAGAATTAAAAAATTAGTGTAGTACAATTAAGTGTTTTTTTAATGTGCTTTTAAAATAATAAATTGAAATTAATGTAACTTGACGTTTTAAAAGATACATGCCAATAAAATTCCATATAACATCTGTACAACAATAAAGCACTAAAATACAAATAGCGAATTATAAGCTCAAATTGTTCTTCCACTTTTGTGCTTTCAAAATATGCACAAAAAGTTTGGTACTTATTTTAACCGGTCAATCATCTCGAAGTGATCATCCATCCTCACCTTACAAGACTAAAGTACTAGTTACTACACACAGACAGCGAATTAATTACATGCTTAAAATGTTCACTTATTTATGTGCTCTCCAAATGTGCATAACGAAATTTTGGTAAATCGCTCTCGATGTGACCTACTAATTACATTACTATTTCCTTGTACTTCGTTTAAAGACTAATTATATTATTATCGTAATATTATTTTCTTTAATTGATTTTCTCTTGATATATAAAACATAGTTTAAAAATTATTTGTAAGTTCAATGATTAAATAGTTGGTTTATACTGAAAAATTTACAAATTATCGTAATTTTATTATTTTCAAGTATTAATTAAAAAATGTAATTCGGTCTTCAAATAAATTTCGAAATGGCTGAATTTAATTGATTTATCGAAATATAAGCGTTATGCGAACTGCACTCATAATAATAAAATTTTTTAATTTATTTATATTTATTTATTAATCAAATGGTCATCAGACCACGTTCCAACTTTTATTGCGCGACAAGCGACTGTTTCATGTCCATGCAGGTTGTTGAGTGGCAGAAGCCTGAGAAGCCGTTAATTCGGTTACATTTTATTGGATGTGTGTGCGAATCTGGATTGTTATATCTGTGATAAGTTCTGACAGATTATTCAGCAATGGAAGAAAAGTTCTAGTTTTATCAGTTATTACTATTTTTGAGGTTAACCTCTCTTGGTAAGATAGCTGCATTCTTTCAAGAAATATTTCTCTGACCTCAGTTCCATAATGTATTTTTTAAAGATCTTTTCGACGTCTGTAAAAAGGAAACTGTAGAGAAAAATTAAAAAAACAGCTATAAAAGTTTAATTTAAAACAGATTAATTGTTCATGAGAATCAATAAGATCTACATACAGTCATCAGACAGTAATTTAGAATATGAAACGTCATCTAATCCCAAAGAGACAGAAGCTTGTTTTTCATATTTTAGCGAGGAATATGATATTGCAGAAAATAATTGTGATGATACGATCAAGAACAAATTGAAGATGTTCATGTTGAAAATGATGTGCAAAGTA